GGGACGCAGTCGTGCGTCCGGACCGTGGTACGCGCCGCGACCCAGAATGCAGCGGCCTTCCGGGACCGTGGTACGCGCCGTACCTTCGACCCAGAATGCAGCGGCCTTCCGGCCCACCGTCTCCTTAATGGCTGCGAGATCAGCCTCGGTGAGCCCCGGACGGTTCTCCGTAGGGCCCAACCTGAGGCCTTCAATGACCTGCGCCTTATACTCTGGCGTACGGCGGGGATCGGCAGCCACAGCCTGGCCTGCCAACGCATAGACCTCCAGGTCCGCGAAGACACCATCCCAATCCTTGGCGTCTGCCTTCGACCGCCAGTGAGCATCCATCTTCCTGGAGAACTCCAGAACTTCAGCCTCCATCTTCGCTCTCTCTTGAGGGGAGAGGTCCTCGCCAGACTTAACGTCCGGCAACGGTACCTCCGGAGCGGAAGGCTTCGCAGGCTCAGCCGGCGGCTGGCCGCTCACTGAGCAAATGCTGTCGTAGCAAGGGGGCTGGTCGCCCCTCAGACCAGCATCCGCCAGGCAACGGCACAAGGCCGGAGCGAGCACCCTCGAAGAGGTCCGGGCCTTCGCGTGCTGATGGGCTACCCTGCCCAAAGCGTCAGGCTTTGCACAGCGAACGCAAACCGAATCCATCTTGAAGTTGGAAAGACAGATCAGCGCTCCTTCCGAATGCTTAGAACCCCTAGGAACTGATCCCAAGAGCTGACATCGATCAGCTCGGCCGAAAGCCCAAGGGAACTTCGGTTCCGAAAGCGTCCCAAACACGGGAGCCCACCCCTGGGCCTCCCAAGGCTCCCAAAGTCCTTCCTGATCTGAGATAGTAACAAGCATCTGGCGCCCCTTCTCGGCCACCATTGCTCCCCACCTACTGACCAGGGAGAGGAACTCCTTGGGGATACCCTTACCGGATAGGCCCACAACGAGGCACTTGGGGTCGAGCGTATCGACCAGAAGGCTCAGGGCTTGCCGGTCCTCCTCTGAGGAGAAGTCCCAGCGGATCCCGTAGGAGCTGGCTCCTTGAACCGCAGCAGGAGGGCTACGCAGGCCTCCTGCCTTACTGACCTGAGTAAGCGAGTGCTCCGACACCGCTACTTCGACAAGGTCCACGTCCATACCCTCTAGGTGATCTCTGATCCACCCCTGGACCGCGGCACAGGAGCTACCTCTACCGACGATCAAGGAGGGCGCGGGAGCCTCAGCAAGGAGCTCCTTCAACGCAGCAGGGACGTCAATCGGGGAAGCTGCCACACCCACTCGGTCCGGCACGGACTCTTGCAAGGAGTAACCGGCCTTATCGAGCTTCCGGGCAGAAGACGCAGCGAGAACCCCATCCCTACTAAGATCCACCTTGGAGATAATCTCCTTCACGGTGATGGACTCTATGGCCTGTCTCGTCCCTTCGCGGGTCAGAGAACCGCCTTCGTCCAAAAACGCAAGGTGCCACCGGACTCTGAGTCCTGAGGCGTCGGGGATGTACCGGTGGACGCCCACCTGTGCCCTGGCTTCGTCCACTTGCGTGACCTTGCCTAGGCGACAGGTTTTAGGGCCCACTCGGGCGCCATGGTACGCAACATGGTCACCAATACGCAACACGAAGTTGCGGCCCCGGCGCTTGACAGTAAACTCGACCTGCTTAGCTTCACCGGCCGCTTGCTGACCCAATGAAGGCGGCTGATGCTCTGGCTCGTCGAAAAACTCTATGGGGTCCCTCTTCTCGGGCACCTCCGCATCGTCGAAAAACTCTATGGGGTCCCTCTTCTCGGGCACCTCCGCATCTTCCGGCACGAGCACTACATCCTCCGCGTGGGCTTCACATTGCCGGCCTGGCGCCCCACCAGGGCCACCAGGAACAAGTTCGAGTTGCAGCCTATGGCCTTTAACCGCCACTATCCTCCAAGGGCCGGTCAGACCAGGCTTCCAAGGGACACGCCCCGCCCCCTCTGGCCGGGGCTTGGGGGAATTCCAGACAACTCTGTCCCCCACGCGGAGCTCAACTGTGCGACGCGACCGATTAGCAAGTCGGGCACGCGCCTCACTGCTCGCGTCCCAATGGCGCCGCACAGCGGCCGCCAAGTCGGAAAACTGCTTGAACTGGGAACGGGCCCAGTCCGTGATGGGCTCGAATTGGAGGGCCTCGCGGAGAACGTCCTTCTCCAACGGCAAGGCGAGGCTCCAGGACCGTTCCAGGTCCCTGGGGGTGTACCCATGCGCCCCCGGGGTATTATCCAACACATACTCGGCGACCATGAGCCATTCGCTCCAGTTCTCCATGGAGCCGCCGATATGCCGGATGAGGTTACCCAGAACCTTCTGGACCTCTTGGTGGACCCTCTCGTTGGACCCCATCTCACAAGGCCTGAGAGCCATACTGAACTGCTGAGTTGTCCCAAGCATGGAGCACAACTCCAGCATCATGGCATTCTTGAACTCAGTGCCTCGATCAGATCGGATGAGGCGGGGCAGGGTGCGTGATCTCAGCACGCACCGCAGAAATGCCCTACGCACATCCGTATGCGTAAGTGTCTTCATGGGTTCCAGAAGCACTGCGTGGCTAAGGCAATCAAAGTACGTAATACTGTATCGGAAGCCATCGCGGTCCTCCCGATTAGGACCCTCGCAGTCGACGGAAACTTCCTGCCAACACGCTTCCGCGAGACATTTGACAGGTTTCGCTTCGACCTTCGTGGCTCGGGCCCTGCCCTTAACACACGCCAGGCATTTGGACACCCACAACTTAACGTCTGGTTCCATTCCTGGCCACCAGACGGCCCTTTCAAGGAGACGGAACGTGACCTCCGCCGAACGGTGCGCCCCCAGGAGGCCACAATGCACAGTCATGTAGCATGACTTCCGCCACGTGACGCCATTGGGCCCGGCGATACCGTTCGGGACGACCGGGACGACCACCGTCTGGCCAGTCTTGATGGTCACTTCCCTCTCCAAGACTCCGTCCTTGAAAGCTTCTTGACCGAAGCCGTAAGGGACGGATCTCTCCGTTGAGCCTCGTGCCAAGCCGTGCGAAGAGCTGGCGTGACGCCGAACTCGCAGAGCCCGGCGCCATCCCTGGCCGCCAAGGCCAGCTTTTCTCTCTGACTCTCCGGGCTGTCCTTGTCCGACAGCACAGGGAAAGAACCGAGGCTGAGGGGACCAGAACCCCCGGACGCGGACACCTTAACCCGGCAAGTCCGCACGGAATGTGACTTGACACAAAAGGGCCGGTGGGAGGAGTACAACTCCACAACCACCCGTGGGGCCTTGGTAGCGGACCCCACAAAAGCCAGGGTCCTGCTAAGCTCTCCTTCCTTGACCTCGATCTTCTTCGAGAGCTGGACGGCCATCCAATGGCCTTCCTCTCCTGAACACTGGAAGGCGGCGATGACAGGCGAAGCCCTGAGCGACTTCCGATGCCCAAGGGACTGGATGCCGTCCCCATCATTCCAACCTTCCACGCGGTCCACCTCTCCCTTGAGACCAAGGAGACACGCAAAGGATTCCCGGAGGCGAACTTCGCCCTCCTGGAGATTCCATATGCGTTCGCACTCAGAATTAACCACATGCCTGTGGCTGTGCCAGTTGGGCTCGACAGCCCAGTTGAGCGAGCTCGGCCCGCTCAGGCAGGACGGGAAGGCCTGGTGCCCTTGCAGGACTTCACCAGAGGCGTTCACGACCCAGGAACTCCACAAAGAAGGGCCGTCCTTCTCGCACCCCTCGACTGGAAGCTCCAGGTCGCCCCCAGTCCAGACCCTCGCCTTAATCCTGCCGTACACCGTGGGCAGGAGCCCTTCCACGGGCTTTTGGAGGAAACCTTTGGCCCATGCTCGGATGAGGTCCGTATCAATGTCCACCGAACCATCAGCAAGGCTGGCGGACAAGAGGGCGTTCACCTCGAGTGACACGCTCGGGTCGGCAGACTCCGGGCCCTCAGCGGCCTCCTTTTCGGCTTGGGCCTCAGCAACCTCCAGAGCTGTTTCCTCCGCCTCCTGCCGGATGCACGAAGGACACCTTGAAAATAGGTATGTCCTCTTTCCGCAGGCGCAGACTCCTTCGTGATCCCAAAGCTCCCGAGAGGGCGCGTCAACGAGACCACGCAAGGAAACATCCGCGACTTTGGAGATCCCTTCTAGCTTCAGGGACGAAAGGACCTCAGCGGAAGCGGCAATCTTGCCCACTATCCCATATCCTGGTATAGGGGGCTCGGGAAACTCACGCCCCATCTCTGGGCACGCCTCAGCCACCTCAGCATGAGTAGAGTGCGCCTTCCAGACCTTAGGCTTAAGGCTCCAGATACCCTTCTCGAGTACGAGGGCCAGCCAACTGTTTTAGCAGCAGAAGCGAAAGCGAATAAGATCTAACTTGGTACACTTCTCGATTTAAAAAACGTCTTCTGTACGTGCCTGACTGTCTTCCTTGCTGCAGGTGCCATGCACCTGCGGAGTCAAGCGTGTCATCCTTGCAGCAGGGGCAGGGACATACACATCTGCGCTCCCCCTTTTGGCGTTCGCCAAAACACCACCAAACCCCAACAACCCAACCACACTTAAGCAGCTGAAGTCCAAAGGGCCCTCGGAAAAGGGTGGAGAGAAGTCCAAGTGGAGGAGTGCAAAGGAGTGTAGCCCAAGTAAGGCTCAAGACGCTCCTCAGTTTCTGAGGAAAAGGACTGTGGTTGCACAACAAACGGCGCAAGGCTTCACAGTGCTTGCAAAAGATGGGACATGTAATCCCCTGCACGGTTTTGCAGAAGCACGGCTCTTCACCAATCTGCAAGCTACACAACCTGAGAACCTGACCCAAACCGGACTTACAACCGGAAGCTAAGAAAATCGTCAAAAATCCAAAGATGAGCCGATACTGTACTCCAAGGGTCAGAAAGGATTAGCATGTCTCAAGCAGATATCCGCGAGACTGGCACGCCTAACAAACTAAGACCCACAAGCCACACCTTTAAGGACGTATGACAAAACGACCCCTAAAAACCACGCCTAGAGCACCTTACTTCAATCCACCTCAGGGACTCCATCCTGGTGCATGCGCTCGAGGCGAAAGCCCTCGTTCGTGTAAAAGATATGTTGTTGAGCATCTGACAACTGTTCAAGTGGCACTTCAATGCCATTCCTAATCAGAAACGCTGCAGCTGAAGCGATAGCATGATTTATTTCTTCATCAGCCTCTTCAATCTCACTGTCAGTCGCAAGCGGAGGAACTCTTGTTGATCTTAAGACCGCAACGTCATCAACATACCTCACCACAGCATCAGAGGAGCTAGCAGCCTCATTGGTACCTGCAGCCCAGGGTGTTAGAGTTGGCAAGTCAGGATAGAGACCTGCCTCACGCATCTCTTCATACTGGCGGTACAGCTGTTCGGGTCCAGGGACTACATCGATTCCATGCCTATTGATCTGGTCACGGTGGGGGTAAGTAGGGTCATACCTAGCCCTATACTCAGCAGCAGGAACTATCCCAACCCCTTGAACCCAGTGCGGAGGAGTTCCAGATGACGAGCTGGAGTCTGATCTCGTTGCCATATACAGCTCGAAATCTCGCCGCGCTCCGCGGTCATAATACTCAGCTGACCGACCAGACTGTATCGAAGAAGACTCTGCATCACTACGCGGGGATTGAGGTTCCGGCTCGTAGGGAAGGGCCTCAGGAACAACTACTACAGGATGATTTCTCGGGGCCTCGGGTGGAAGCTCGAGTGCGACAGTTCCTTGCATGTCAACAACCAGGCTGCTTCTTAACACGCGATCAATGAAGTTTTCCCAGCTATTAGGGTCCCCAAGATCAAAAAAGTTAGGAATTTCAATCCGGTTGGTGTTCCTTCGCAGCGGGGGAGGTTCAACCGTGGGGCTACGTTGCTCTGGTGCTCCAGGCAGGAGGGCCCACGGAGAAAACTGCACGTCTGGGCCTGCACCAGTGCTAACTCGCCTTGGCCTGGCACCTCTGCCACGGCAACGCAGTCCATCATCGTAGTCAGCAATGACTATAGGCTGCGGGATTTGCTCGGAAAGCGGAATGGGTTCAAGCTCTGGCTGCTCAAGGCCATCTTCGACTGGCTCAGTGCGTCGTGTGCTAAAGAACCTTCCCACAGCACAAAGCAGAAAACTCCCTATTGCAACCACAAGAACCGGAACTATTGAAAGCCACCAGCTGCTCCAGTCATCCTGCGTCGATCCTTCAACTCCTCCCTTGCCCTGAGCCTGAACAGGCAGCGAACCGACAACAAGCAGCGCCAACGCCTGCCTCAAAAGGTTTAGTTTCGCAACAGGGGCCTTAACCTTTGGCACATCGTACCCGCACAAAAGCAAGAGGTCTCTGACACGAGTCCAAGGCAGCACTTTCGTGGCAATATCTGCCAGCATGTGTTCTCCTTTTAAGTGCGACAGGTGCCACTTTCCAGACTGGAGCCTTTCCCGGAGGGCTTGAGACCGAACCCGCAGGTGGCGCGTGCGCCAATTGCCACTTTCAAAAGAAGCGATTGAGATGGATGCAAGGTTATCGCAGAAAGCCTGACACGCTGGAAACTGCTGAACCTCTGGGTGAAGCTCATGCACCAGCCCTTCAAGGGACTCCGTCAACGCTACACCCTCAAGAACCCCTAACAGCTCACACTCAGCAGTAGAGAGAGCTGTGAAGGGCTGCTTACCTGCACCCCAGAAGACTAGATTGCGACCGACCTGAACCAGGCCAGCTTCAAAGCTTCTGTCACCAGCTGGAGCGAAACTAGCATCAGTGAAAGATTCAAGCAGGTAAGGAAGAGCCGTGACGCGACGCTCATTATGCATGCCATGGGGAGGCTGATCTGCGGCGCACTGGTACTTCAGAGCGACCCGCTTGGTGCCTTTAAGATAGCAAAGGATATGCAGACCGAGCTTGAAAGCAAGCTCCGGACATCGACTCACCAATGATGTTACCCTCGCAACCCCATAGACAATGTCTACTCTTGTCTTTCCAGACACCCAAAGAAGCTCACCCGCAAGTGCCTGGGCCTTTCTCAAAGCAACAGGGGAAGAAGGTTCTGGCTCTTCTGGGTCCTGAACCTTTACAAACGGGCACGAAGTCTCTACCAGTGGAGCCCCAAGACTCTCTTCGTAGCGCTTTACAACATCTTCTATATACGATGCTTGGTGGACTAAGAGCGCACGGCCTTGTCTCTCTATTTCAACACCACAAAAGCGCACAGGATTCTTAGAGCTAAGCTGGTCCGGCTCCGAGCACTGCCAGATGTTGCGAATTTCAGCGAGGACTGCGGATGCATACTTTGCAACACCTCCCATCATGAGGTCATCGACATATACGACCAGAAGGCCGACAATGCCTCCTGACGATGCCGTCAGTAGCCATGCATTTGGCTCAGAAACTAGCTGTCTCAGGCTTATTTCAATATCTCCAATCTTAACGCGAACAGTCTTTAACGTGCGGTCCCTAAGTTTCGACCAACATTTAGGAGACCGGTCAAGGCCGTACAGAGCACCTTCAACCAACCACCGCTCAGCTCTGCTGACTACTCCGGCAAGCTGAAAGATACGGGGCGGATCAAGGACGATCAGCTCCTCGGTCCCTGACTCGACCAGACTGCTATCAACACCATCGGACAACTTCGCGTTTAAGAAAGCTGTTTTGACGTCTGTCACCCAGACATACCAGTCGGGGTGCTGGGATATGAAAGCCAACGACAATCTTAGTGCGCTCGCGTCGATTCCACCGGCATATGTGAGCATACGATGTTCATACGCGGAGCCACCAGCTGAAGGCCCGTGATTTCCACATGCGACGCACCTAGCCTTCCTTAAGCCTGACACCGCCTTGCGAGTGAAGACTCCTTTTGAGGGCAGACGCAGCACCGCACGTCCCTGGGCAAGCCATTCCGCAATTTGTTGTTCCGAAATCGGCCTTAGCACTCCTTTTACACGGAGGCTGTCATATTCGGCACTTATCGCTGGCTTCCACAAAGGAAGTTCGCGTTTGACCTGATCGAGGCTCACAGTTTTCGTTTGCAACGGTGGTGGCTCATGGTCCGGAGCATGGGCATCAGAAGCAGAGGGTGACTCCCCCAGTCCTCTAAGACGAAGCTCTTTGACTGCTAAGGGGCACTTGGACTCCCCCGGGCCCGACAGCACCTGATAATAGGCAAGGAAGTTTTCTATGCCTTCAGAGCGCGCCTCGAGGACCTCACTGACAGCACTACTTGAACCACTAGCTGCCTGCAAGCTGCGAAGATTAACCCTAGCCCTATTAAGCTCTTCGATCCCCTGCAAGACACAGGTCTCTACCGGACCGTCTATCAGTACAAAGGACTCAAGGGGGTCATCGGGAGGGGTCTCATGATCATGGCAAGGGCTTAAGCTCCGAGCCTCAACCTGAAGGGAGGACGCAGCTTCAGCAGCCTCAAACCATAACTTCGACTCAGCACTGCAGGCCGCATCCAAACCATAAGCCTCTTCGCTGAAATCAGACTCCGCCTCAACCTCATCAACCAAGAGCCCGACACCGGAGGAAGACTCTTGGGCAGGAGGAGAAGTATCAATCAACGCACTCAGCTCATGCGGTCGATTTTGATTTTGAGTTGCAAGCCCCTGTTTGGAACAAGAAGGCGAAAGATTACTGTGGGCTCCCCCCCTGCGTCAGACGCAGGGCAGCAAGAAGGCAACGGAAAGCCGGCGCAAGTCAGCTCCGCCACAACCGGGAGAGGAGCCTTCACACATCGTTTGAGAGTGAACGCAACAAGGAGGTATTTGTCGCCAGACCACGAGTCACCGGCATGAAAGCAGTGCGGTGAGAACGAGAACGAGGCACCAACCGTATCCCACATCATTCCCGGCAGCCACCGACGCGGAGCAACCTCTCGAAATTGCAAAACCCCTGGAGCGGCAGTGCTAGCAAACTCTGAACTAACCTCGATCCAAAGCCCGCCACGCAAATGCTCGGCTCCGCCAACAACATAGTTCAAGCTATCCGGAGCATTGAAGTAGTCACGGTGGATGGGGGCGCTGCAATTCACCGACGCTACAAAAGAAGTGAATGTAGCCTGAGGGTGATAGTGCTGTAGCACTGCCAAAAGGTACCTTTGCGTGTGCGGAAGCTGACGACTAGCCGTCGTCACACCAAGCACTCCCCCGTGCGTGAACATCCCAAAGCTACGATACTGAGTCCCAGGCCCCAGGGCTGACATAAAACCCCTGCGGATTGACTTATGGGGCAAGAGGCGCAGCACCTGAGACCACGATGCATTATCATACAATCCCCGACGCAACAAGTCCTCAGAGAGAGCCTCGAGAGAATCAGCAAGGGCTCGCACAGCGTGCGGGAGGTCAATGCACAAGGGGTCAGGAGTTTTACGACGCAAACGAGACGATGGACCAGGCGGCCCAGAAGAGGCGGGAGTCTTCCTTGATTCCTCAGTCACCGGCACCCCTTTGCGCACCTCGCTAGGTGGGATCACCGAAACCTCACCGGATGCCTCAAAGACAGGTTCCTGAGCCCTTACCCCTTGAATCAACGCCGTGGTTTCAAAGTAACCCTGGAGACCATCCCAAAGATCGGAAGGGTGGCTCGGTTGAAGGCGCACTACGTAACCACCTGGAGCGGACTCAGAGGGAGCCATAACGCGGGCCTCTATACACTTTGGCGCCCACAAGTGCAAAGTCCATTCCTTCTTTCTTACCCAAACCTTGGTGTAGAACGGAATCGGTTCGCGCTGGGGAAAACCCAAGACTGTAAAGACCTGCGACCTCATACTGAAGACAGCGTGCCGCATAGCAAAAGCCCAATCCGCATCATCAGCAGACGCCGCCGCAAGCAATGCGCGAGTGAGCCCCTTGACACGCCCTATGTGGGCTTCAGTGCGCCCATTAGCCTTAAAGTCCGAGCCAACCGTTGTTGTACGACGAACCTGATGATCCGCTAGGAGCTGGCGAAACTGTGCATTCGTGAACTCTGCTCCTTTGTCAGTATGGACTCTGCGTACCGGGAGCCCCCAATAAGCGATGTCCGCTAGAACTTCTTTCAAGGCATTGGTGACGGTCTTGGCCTTTTTATCTGGCAGCATGACTAAGTAAGGCACCTCATGCATATGCACCTCCTTCAAAGGAACTTCACCGGTTGTCACACCATCATCGCCATCACCACCTTCATCACCTGTCATGGCGTCGCCATCACCAGCCCCTTTAGGAGGCTCATCTTCGACGAAACCCTCTTCAGGAAACTCCCAAGCACCCGGGACCTCATGCACATTTGGGGGCGAAGGCTTCATCACACTAACGCTCAACTCAGCATCATCCTCTCCGAAGGGCTCAACCTGCAAAGTAGAGGCATCATGCTTTTCCCTCTCACCCGGGTCCGACGGCTCGTAATCATATTCCTGCTTGAGGATGTCTGTTGCCAACACCGGAACGGTAAGCACTGCATGCAAGCAGTATCTAACCTTCTGAAGCCTTTCATGATTGCCATTAGCATACGGACCGGAGAGATCACAGCCTAACACAAAAGAGTCAGGAACCTTAATCCTACGGTGAGGTCTAGACTTCAATCTACATCTCAAGCAGGTGGCGCAATCTCGTCGGAATGGCAAGTGGCCGTTGGCGACGTGACGCTCAAAGGATGCATCAATCTTCCCTTTTGGGGTGGATGTTTTCTCACGGTTTTTCGCATGCTTAGCCACTTTCAGGCATACCGCCCGTCCTACTCCATCATACTCCCGGCATTGCTGCTGGTGGAACATCAGTGACTTAACCAAGCCATGACTAACACTATGCCACGGTGATGATCTGACCAAAGCCCTGACCTGCGGATCGTTGTCACTTTCGCACAGGAACAACGGTGGGATTGTAAAACCCGCAGCCTTTCGGCCACAATCGGCTTGACCACACAAATGCAGGATCCTAAGCAGTACCAGTGCATCCTTAGCCGCGTCGGCTCCAGGCGATTGGCAGCCGTGACACATGGCGGGAAAAAGACTTGGAAGATCAGTGCACAC